GGCCTCCAACTCCCAATGATTTTCCTGCTTCAGACGCTCAAGGGCTGGGATTACAGGTGTGCCCCACCACGCCTGGCTAGCTCCAAGTTTTCTACAATATTCAATTTTGAAATTATGGGGACCAGGGTTCGATCCCTAGTCTCGCAGGCCACTCTGGCCCTGCCCCCAGGGCGCACTGAGCCAGCAACAGAGTCCAGGCATGGTGGTGCATGCCTGTAATACCAGCTCTGGGGAGGCTGAAAACAGGAGGATCGCTATGGGTCCAAGCTGTGTAGTGGGCCTCTGTACCAAATACATAAAATGAAAAAAAAAATTTAAATGATGGATTTTACTGTCATATCACTATGAGGAAGCTCAGTGGAAATAAGGTAGGAAAGAAGAAAGACAGGTAGAAAGGAGCCTAAGAAAACCTTCATTTAGTAATTGCACTTTTAAGAGGACTTCAGGGGCTGGGGAGATGGCTCAGTGGAATAAGCGCTTCCCTGGCAAGCGCAAGGGCCTGAGTTCAATCCCTGGTTCTGAAAAAAAAAAAAAAGAGGACTTCAGCTCCAGGGACACGGTCACAGCTACCCAGGTCTGTCCACGCCTGTACTCCTTAGGTTAATTCACTCTGCTTTCCAGCCAGATCCATCACACCCAAAATTCCTCAGGGAAGCCATAGGTTCATAAATTACCTTAGTCAAGAAAGTGGAGGGCAGAAAGATGATGCTAAAATAAAGTAATGGATTGAAAGAATTCAAAGAATGCTTAGGTCATCCCTGTTTTAAAAAACAGGCTTGTCTCTTTCACCTCCAAAGTGGGCTGTTATCTTTCAGGGTAGATGAGCATTTTTTCCTGTTTTGAGAACTAAGACACAACTTTCTGTCTGTCGACTTAGCGCACAAACTCGGAAGGTTTCTACCCCATCTGGAGAAACAAGTGTTTCCAGTTCTGCAGACTAATGTGCAGCTCTGGAAGATCCCATGCTCCTCCATGTTTTTAAGTGTGTGTTTTAAAAAGTTTACTAAATGGAGCTGGTGAGACAGCTCAGTGGACTAATCACCCGCTTAGGCAAGTGCAGGGACCAGGGTTCCATCCCAGCACCACACGCCCCTGGGTCCACTGAGAGGGCTACCGAAATAAGGCATCGTGGCATACACCTGTAATCCCAGCACTGCAGAGGCTGAAAGCAGGACTCACTAAGAGCCTGAGCTAGGGCCAGCCAAATAGCTCAGCAGATTAAAAAGCCTGGCAAGCAGGTTCAGGGGCCGGGGGTTCGATTCCCTGGGCCTGCCGCCCCTGGGATGTGCTGAGACAGAAATTGAGACTGGGTGTGGTGGCGCACACCTGTAATCCCAGCTCTCGGGAGGCTGTAAACAGGCGGATCACTATGAGTCTGATCTGGTAGTGAGACCCTGAACACCCTGTAGACCCTTCCCTAAAATGCAAACATAAATAAATAAACTAAGAGTCTGAGCTGCATAGTGAGACCTGTACTAACCCATTAGGCCTTTCACTGGTGCGTCCTAAAAATTCTTTAGGCCTTTCACTGGTGCGTCCTGAAAATTCTTTTTCTGTGATAGAGATCAGAGAACCTGCGTCCTATCTCATGGGTCAGGTGATGGAAGGGCCCCCATCCCTGCCTTGGGGACATCCTCAGACTCTGTCCAATGATAGAAGGCCCAGACGGCATGGTCAGGGACACCAGCCTGGCCATCCCATGACACAGGGACTGATATAATATAGTTACAGGTTTTATTTAGGAGCTTCAGGGGCTGGAGAGATGGCTCAGTGGTCTAAAGCACCTACTTAGAACAAGTTCAGCGAAGCACAGGGACCAC